GGGTGTCTGGGCTCTCTCCGAGTCTCTGGGCTCTCTCCAGGTCTCTGAGCTACATCCGTGTCCATAAGGCTCCATCCGAGTCTGGGCTCCAACCGAGTCTCTGGGCACCAGCAAGGTCCCTAGGATCCATCCGGATTCCTAAGGCTCCATCCGGGTCCCTAAGGTTCCATTCGGGTCCCTAAGGCTCCATCCGAGTCTCTGGGCTCCATTAGGGTCTGTGGGATCCATCCGGGACCCTAAGACTCCATCCGGGTTTCTGGGCTCCATCCAGGTCCCTAAGGCTCCATCCAGGTCCCTAAGGCTCCATACGCGTCCCTAAGGCTCCATCCGGGTCTCTGGACTCAATCCGGGTCGCTAAGGATCCATTCCGGTCTCTGTGCTCCACCCGGGTCTCCAGGGCCACATCCGGGTCACTGCGCTCCATCTGGGTCTCTGGGCTCCATTAGAGTCTCTGGGCTCCATCCAGGTCTCTGGGCCCCATCCGAGTCTCTGGGCTCTATCCGGGTCTCTGGGCCACATCAGGCTCTCTGAGCTCCATCCGGGTCACTGGGCTCCATCCGGGTCTCTGGGCCACATCGTGGTCATTGGCTCCATCCGGGTCTCTGGGCTCTATCCGGGTCTCTGGGCCACATCGGGCTCTCTGAGCTCCATTCGAGTCTCTGGGCTCTCTCCAGGTCTCTGAGCTACATCCGGGTCCCTAAGGCTCCATCCTCTTCTCTGGGCTCCATCCTAGTCTCAGGGCTCCATCCGAGTCTCTGGGCTCCATCCGAGTCTCTGGGCTCCATCCGGGTCCCTAAGGCTCCATTCCGGTCTCTGGGCTCCATCCGGGTCTCTGGTCTCCATTCGAATCTATGGACTCCATCCGACTCTCTGCGCTCCATCCGGGTTCTTAAGGCTCCATCTTGTGTATAAGGCTCCCTCCGAGTCTCTAGGATCAATCCAGGTCCCTAAGGCTCCATCGAGGTCTCTGGGCTCCACCAGGGTCTCCGGGCCACATCCGAGTCCCCATTGCCACATCCGGGTCCCCAGGGCCACCTCCAGGTCTCTGGATTCCATCGGGTTCTCTGGGCTCCATGCGAGTCTCTGTGCTGCATCCGGGCCTCTTGGCTCCTTCCGGGTACCTAAAGCTCCATCCGAGTCTCTGAACTCCATCCGGGTCCCTAAGACTCCATCCGAGTTCCTAAGGCTCTATCTGGGTTCCTAAGGCTCCATCCGAGTCTATGGATTCCCTCCGGCTTACACAGAGCCGGGCGGGGATACTACACCTCCCCGAAGCCTCAGCGGCGGCGGCGACGCTCTACGTGTGGGCTGTACTGGCCTGAGTGACAGGTAGCCGACCCAATGGCTTCCCCGGTCTCAGACTCCGGACCGCTCAGACGCGGGGTGGGTGTGTGATTCCTGTTTCGGAGGCGTCTGCTCGGGGCGGAAATGGTGTGGAAAGGAACCGTGTTTCAACCCAGCTGTCTTCTTTCTCTTCTTTGAAAAAAAGCTGTGAGGCCTAATTTTCCTGACCTGAGCTATCATTTTCCTTTTACCATCTGTGGGCCATATTTCCTGGTTTCACATTGCCCAGCACCCTCTGCTTGGACAGGGTGGACCGGGGAGACTACAACTCCCCAAAGCCTCAGCGGCAGGGCGCTCTGCGGCTGGGCTCGTCTGAGTGACAGGTCGGGCAGCCATTGGCTTCACGCGGTCTCAGACTCCGTTGCCAATCAGATGCTGAGTGGTTATGTCGCCCTGTTTCTGCGGCTCGGGGCGGAAATGGTGTGGAAAGGAACCGCCTCGAGCCACGCCCCTCGCGGCTCCTGACTGGACGCGGGAAGTGACGTCTGCGCGCACCACGCGGCAGTCGTCCCGCCCATGTCCAGCTCGGACCGGACGGGCAGCTTCGGGTCTGGGTCCCGCACGTCCCTGGCAGCCCCTGAGCGGGCGCGTACCCGCCTGTCCGTCCGCCAGAACCTCGCCCTGTAGCTTGGCCTGCCTGCCCTTGTCTGGGAGGAGGAACGCGCAGTAGGAGCCCAGAACCTGTCTTCTGCCACGCTGCCTGCCCGCGCCAGCACGGGCAGGACAGGCCGCACTGTTCCTCCTCATCCAGCAGAGCCACTCAGGGCCGGCCAGAGGGCAAGGTTCTGAACCTAGACCTGCGCCTCACTCGTCCAGGGAGGCCAGGCAGCCACCGGCGAGGAAGGAGGTGGCGTTCTGAGCGCGCACTGGAAAAAGTCATTAGCGGCAGTGCAGAGGGCGGGATGAGGCGCCCTCCGGCAGCTTCCGGGTCGCGTTAGGGGCAGCAGGAGCGCTAAGGGGGTGGGGTGCTGGCAGGAGACTGACAGATTCCCGGTCCAGTCAGGGGCAGAAGGAGCGCCAAGGGGGTGGGGTGCTGGCGGGAGACTGACAGATTCCCGGTCCAGTCAGGGGCAGAAGCAGCGCCAAGGGGCTGGGGTGCTGGCGGGAGACTGACAGGTACCCCGTCCAATCAGGGGCAGCAGGAGCGCTAAGGGGGTGGGGTTTAGGCGGGAGACTGACAGATTCCCGGTCCAGTCAGGGGCAGCAGGAGCGCTAAGGGGGTGGGGTGCTGGCGGGAGACTGACAGGATCCCGGTCCAGTCAGGGGCAGGCAGCACCGCCAAGGGGGTGGGGTTTAGGCGGGAGACTGACAAGTTCCCCGTCCAGTCAGGGGCAGAAGGAGCGCCAATGTGGTGGGGTTTAGGCGGGGGACTGACAGGTTCCCCGTCCAGTCAGGGGAAGGCAGCACCGCCAAGGGGGTGGGGTTTAGGCGGGTGACTGACAGGTTCCCCGTCCAGTCAGGGGCAGAAGGAGCGCCAAGGCGGTGGGGTTTATGCGGGAAACTGACAGGATCACGGTCCAATCAGGGACAGGCAGTAGCGCTAAAGGGGAGGGGTTTAGGCGGGATACTGACAGGTTCCGCGTCCAGTCAGGGCCAGAAATAGCGCCAAGAGGGTGGGGTGCTGGCGGGAGACTGACAGGTTCCCCGTCCAGTCAGGGGCAGGCAGGGGAACGCTAAAGGGGTAGGGTGCTGGCGGGAGACTGACAGGATCCCGGTCCAGTCAGGGGCAGGCAGCACCGTGAAGTGGGTGGGGTTAGTCGGGAGACTGAGAAGTTCCCCGTCCAGTCAAGGGCAGGCAGGGGAACGCTAAAGGGGTGGGGTGCTGGCGGGAGACTGACAGGTTCCCGGTCCAGGCAGGGGCAGGCAGGGGAGCTAAGGGGGTGGGTTTCTGGCGGGAGGACTGACAGGTTCCCGGTCCAGGCAGGGGCAGGCAGGGGAGCTAGGGATGCGGGGTTCTGGTTGACGACGGGGAGCTTTTGGTCCGAGTCAGGAGCTGGCAGGGGAGCCAAGGAGGTGGGGTTCTGGCGGGAGACTGACAGGGTCCCGTCCAGTCTGGGGCAGGCAGGACCGCCAAGGGGGTGGGGTGCTGGCGGCAGAGTGACAGTTTCCCGGTGCAGTTGTGGGCCGGCAGGGGAGCTAAGGCCTTGGGGTTTGGGCGCAAACTGACAGGATCCTGGTCCAGTCAGGGGCAGGAAGGGGACCCAAGGAGGTGGGGTTCTGGCGGGAGACTGACAGGTTGCGGGTCCATCAGGGGCAGGCAGAGGAGCTGAGGTGGTGGGTTTCTGGTCGTACACTGAGAGCTTCCCGGTCCCGTCAGTGGCAGTCAGGGGAGCCAGTGAGCTGTGGTTTGAGTGGCAGACTGACAGGTTCCAGGTCCACTGGGGTAGGGAGGGGAGCTGAGGAGGTGGGGTTCTGGCTGCAGACTTGGAGGTTCCGGGTCCCATCGGGGCAGGCAGAGGAGACGAGGTGGGGTCCAGGCTGCAGAAAGAAAGATTCCTCGTCCAGCAGGGGCAGGCAGAGCAGATAAGGAGGTGGGGTTCTGGCCACAGACTGACAGGTTCCCGTTCGTCGAGTCAGGGGCACTCGGGTGAGCCAAGAAACTGTGGACGTTTACTTCTTCCTGAGAGGATGCGGTCTGAGAGGAGGAGCGTGGTGGGGGCAAGAGGTGCGGAGTCACCGCACGGACGCCGGGAGGCGGGTGAGAGCAGTCCTGAGGCGGGCAGCCAGCAGACTGACTCGTTTATTTCAGTTGCTACAGCTGCTTCTATGGCCAAGACAGCCCATCCAGTCAAGGGGCGGTCTAGGCCCTCACCAATCACAGCCTGTGGCCAGGCGGTTTCCAAAGCCATCCAATCACAGCCTGTGGCCAGGCAGGCTCTTGGTGCCAGGCAGGTTCTGAAACCATCCAGTCACGGCCCGCCATCAGTCAGGCTCTGTTGTCATGTGGTTTCTGAAAGCATCCAATCACGGCCGGCTGGCTGTCAGTCAGGCTCTGTTGTCGTGTGGTTTCCTCTGTTGCCATGTGGTTTCAGAAGCCATCCAATCACGGCCTGGTGCCAGGCAATTTCTGTGGTCAGCGGCCATCTTGGCATGACCTTTTCTCCTCGGCGGCCATCTTGGCATGACCTTTTCCCTCAGTGGCTATCTTGACATGACCTCTTCACCTTAATGACCTTTTCACCTTACCCCTTGCCATAGTGCACAGGGAACCTGTCAGCCTGCGACCAGACACTCCCCCTTAGCTCTCATGCCTGGACATTTTGGTCCAGGATCCTTTCCGTCTGTGGCCAAACCTGGGAACCTTTCCATCTGCGGCAGGAATCTCACGTCCTTGGCTCACCTGCCTGCCCCTGAGGGGACCAGGAACCTGTCGGTCAGCAGCCAGAGCCCACCCCCTTAGTCTCCACTGAGTGGCCCTGACGGGACCGGGAACCTGTCGGCCTGCTGACAGAACCCCACGTCATTGGCTCCGCTGACTGTGGCCCGGGAGTGCAGTGGAGGATGGCCCAAGTGCTTGGGCCCTGCACCCCATGGGAGACCAGGAGAGGCACCTGGCTCCTGCCATCGGATCAGCGCGGTGCTCCGGCCGCGGCGGCCATTGGAGGGTGAACCAACGACAAAGGAAGACCTTTCTCTCTGTCTCTCTGTCTCTCACTGTCCACTCCTGCCTGTCAAAAAAAAAAAAAAAAAGAGGCTATCAGCAAAAACCAAGACTCGTTCAAGGTGGTGAAGACCGTGCGTACGTTTCGGGAGTCTTATTTCAAGTTTTAATTCTTCTGCCAACACACTCATGGTAATCCCAGGCTAGTTGCTCTCGTTTCTGAATCGACGTGTCACCCACTGCGCCTCCCTCGTCTGGGCACTTCATCACTCACTCACTGAAGTTGCTGTTCAGAGTGTCCGCTGTGTCCTGTTCTCTCCTGCTCTAAAGTCACTGAGGAGACAGTACTGACGACGAAGCTGCAAACCCTTTCAAGAAGCAAACGTGTCTATACACGACCATGTTTTCAAGGCATTTCCGATGGATCTGACTGCCTGTCAAAAAAAAAATTAAAAAATAACTGAGATATTGGGGGTCTTGGTATTAGAAGATGAGCAAACTTCGTAGTTATGAATCTGCCTTGTCCAGCGTGCTCTACACGCCACGTTGATGACCCTCCTCTCCCTGAGAGAAGAGCCAGCCTGAGCCGTGGAGTGGAGCAGAAAACCAGATTAGAGGATTACACAACGCAGAACCGGTCAAGTCGGTTTTTCCCATCGAGAGACAGAAGCTACAGTGACCTCCCTGGAGCTCTCAAGGTCATGTCTGGGTGCCTGGGCACGAAAAAAGCTAAAAAAAAATAAAATAGAATAAAAAATCCAGGTTCTGGAACATTCTAGGACGTTCTAGAATGTTCCGGGATCCCTAGAATTTTTCCGAGGTGTTCTAGAATGTACCAGAACATCACCAAGTGAGTCTGGGGGGATTCTGGGATACGGGTCTGAGTAGAAGTTTCCCGGCTGGGTGTGACGGGTGTCCTGGTGCCGGCCTGTCCCTGCGGACATTGACGTGACATCCCGTGCCCACCGGGGCTGCGGAAACTTCCAGCACATCGGCAGAGGGTCTCAGACCTCCGAGGACGCTCGCTGGGTTCTCTGGAACATACTGGAACATTCTACAACATTCCAAGACCCCAAAGACACTCTCCAAGCGGTCCAGGGCATCCTACGAACATTCTACAAATTCTACGTCATCCACCAGTATTCCGGAACACTCCAAGACCAGGTGCTCTAGAATACTCTAAGGCCCCGAGGACGTGCACCGGGCTCTCTGGACGTGTTCTAGAACGTTCCGGAACATTCCACAGAATTCCTCGCGATTCCAAGGACATTCCCTGGGCATTCTAGAACATTCTGGAATCCTGGAAACACGCACCAGGGGTTCTGGAAAATTCCAAGGCCCAAGAACGCACGACAGACTCTCCCAGAATTCCCTGGGAGCACTGACCGTTCCGGAACGTCCCTGGTATCCACCAGGATGTTTGCACAACCTTCGGCCCCGCCAACTCCTCCCCCAGCCCTGGCAATAAATAGACGCCGGGTCCCCGCCGGCTCAGACGACGACGAAGACGATGGTGATGAAGATGACGGTGACGAAGGCTCTCCTCCTCGCCCTCACGGTGGGCGTGGCCTGTGCGGACGTCGACCCCGCCCAGGTATCATTAATTTGCATCATTAGTTCCCAGTATTAATTCTCGTCATGAATTCATATCATTTCTTCACATCATTACTTCGCATCACTAATTCGCATCACTACTTCGTGTTGTTTCTTCAGCCGTATCATTAATGCGCGTCATTTCTTCACCTCCCCAGCTCTCCGGGCCCTGGCGCACCTCCGCCATGGCCTCCAACAACCTGGAAATGATCCTGAAGGATGGGCCACTCCGGATGCTGTTCCGCGAGATGGAGTGCAACGAGGACTGCAACGCCCTGAACGTCTTCTTCTACGTCAAGTGAGGGGCGGGGCCAAGGGAGACAAGCCGAGGCCAAAGACAGCCAGGGGGGAGCAATCGAGCCCAGAGAGCGGGGAAGACAGGCGCCACCAAGCACAATCGATCCCAGAGAGAGAGAGAGAGAGCAGGCCAGGGCGACCAGCCGAGCCCAGAGAGAGAGAGAGCAGACAGGAGTAGTTGAGCCCAGAGTCAGAGAGCATGTGGGCTAGAGGGGAGTAATGGAGCTGAGAAAGAGCAGACAGGAGTAGTTGAGCCCAGAGTCAAAGAGCAAGCCAGGGGGCACCAGCCGAGCCCAGGGAGAGTGAGCAGACAGGAGTAGTTGAGCCCAGAGTCAGAGAACAGGTGGGCTAGAGGGGAGTAATGGAGCTGAGAGTGAGCAGACAGGACCAGCCGATCCCAGAGTCAAAGAGCAGGCCATCGTGGACCAGCCGAACCCAGAGAGAGAAAGAGTAGACAGGAGTAGTTGAGCCCAGAGTCAGAGAGCATGTGGGCTAGAGGGGAGTAATGGAGCTGAGAGCAGACAGGACCAGCCGATCCCAGAGTCAAAGAGCAGGCCATGGTGGACCAGGCGAGCCCAGAGGGAGAGCAGACAGGAGTAGTTGAGCCCAGAGTCAGAGAGCATGTGGGCTAGAGGGAAGTAATGGAGCTGAGAAAGAGCAGACAGGAGTACTTGAGCCCAGAGTCAAAGAGCAAGCCAGGGGGCACCAGCCGAGCCCAGGGAGAGTGAGCAGACAGGAGTAGTTAAGCCCAGAGTCAGAGAGCATGTGGGCTAGAGGGGAGTAATGGAGCTGAGAGTGAGCAGACAGGACCAGCCGATCCCAGAGTCAAAGAGCAGGCCATGGTGGACCAGCCGAGCCCAGAGAGAGAAAGAGTAGACAGGAGCAGTTGAGCCCAGAGTCAGAGAACAGGTGGGCTAGAGGGGAGTAATGGAGCTGAGAGAGAGCAGACAGGACCAGCCGATCCCAGAGTCAAAGAGCAGGCCATGGTGGACCAGGCGAGCCCAGAGGGAGAGCAGACAGGAGCAGTTGAGCCCACAGCGAGCGGCCATGTTCCCGGTCTCTCCTTCAGGAAGAACGAGGTATGCACCCCGCACACGGTTGTGGCCCAGAAGAACGCAGACGGCATCTACACCACTGACTGTGAGTACAGAGCATTTCGGAAAGTTCCAGACAATTCCAGATGACCCCAGGGAATGTCCGGTGTGTTCCAGAATGTTCGAGAATGTTCCCAGAAATGTTCCAGGATGTTGCAAATGTCCCAGAATGCTCCAGTTCCTCAATGTTCTAGAATGTTCCAGAATGCGCTAGAATGTCCCAGCATGCCCCGGCACATCCAGAACACCCACCTCTCTCCCTACAGTCGAGGGCCAGACCTCCTTCCAGTTCCAGGAATTGGATCCCACTAGCCTCATCGTCTTCATCAATAACATGGCATCCGGCGGCACCACCAGCCGCCTCAGCTTCCTCACTGGTGAGCCCCCCTCACACACACATGTACACTGCCGGTGCCCGCTAGGGATACGCACCACGACCCGAGAGTCTGAGCCCGACTGTATACGGGGAAAGGGGGGCTGCATGACCAGGCATATACAGTCGGTGCCCACTGGATAAAGCGGGTGTATACAGTCAGTGCCCACTAGACATGGTGGGCATATACAGTCGGTGCCCACTAACGCTAGCATATACAGTTGGTGCTCGCTAGATGGGGTGAGCGTATACAGTCACTAAAGCGAGTGTATGCAGTAGGCGCACACTAAAGCGAGCGTACTCAGTCGGCGCCCACTCTTGCCACAGCCAAATTGAATTTCATAAACGATGACGCGCTGGACGACTACGCGAGGCTCACGGAGCAGAATGGGATCCCGCGGAAGTACATCCGGCGTGTGGCCGACACAGGTGAGGCCTTGGCGGCTTCCGGGCTGACTCGGCGCTGACTCGGCGCTGACTCAGCGCTGACTCGGCTTTCCTCTCTCTCCAACAGACACCTGTCCACCCTGAGGACGCCTCCCTTGGAGAAGGTGCCAGAACGTTCTAGACCATTCCAGAACCGCCCCTGATCGCCTCACCATCTCCTCCCACCTGCGAATGCGCTAGCATGCTCCGGACATTCTAGAACGTTCTGGATTGATCCAAGATGGTCTGGATCGTCCCAGAATTTCTAGAAAGCTCCGGAACATTCTAGAATCGGCCGTCCCCGGCTTTCTCTGCTTCCTGTTCATGGAATAAACTCATCCTAGGCACAGTCCCAGTCATTTATTTTAAACGATTTTTATTGTTCCGTCAAAAGACAGAGCGAGCTGGTGGAGGAACCCAGGGGCTACCTCCGGGTCTCCCTGCACTGTCAGTCACCGTTCACTGACAAGGGGGTGGGCTCTGTCATCTGGTGGCTGTCAATCAGCCCTGAGTGACACTGGGGGGGTTCTCCCCGACTCCACTGGCAGCCAGTCACACTCCACCAGGATCCCAGGGCCACACCCGGGTCCCCATGGCCACATCCGGGTCTCCAGGGCAATATCCGGCTCCCCAGGGCTCCACTCATGTCCGCAGTGACACATCCAGGTCCCCAGGGGCACATCCTGGTCCCCAGGGCCACATCCGGGTCTAAGTGCTCCATCCAGGTCTCTGGGCTCCATCTGGGTCCCTAGGGCTCCATCCGGGTCTCTGGGCTCCATCCGGGACTCCTGGCTCCATCCGAGTCTCTGGGCTCCACACAGGTCTCTTGGCTCCATCGGGGTCTCTGGTCTCCATCTGTATCTCTGGGCTCCATCCGGGTCCCTAAGGAAACATCCGGGTCCCTAAGGCTCCATCCGGGTCTCTGTGCTCCTTCAGGGTCACTAAGGCTACATCCGGGTCCTTAAGGTTCCTTCCAAGTCCTTAAGGCTCCATCCGAGTCTCTGGGCTCCATCCAGGTCTCTGGACCACATCCGGGTCTCTGGGCTCCATCCGGGTTTCGGGGCTCCAACCGTGTCCCTAAGGCTGCATCCAGTCTCTGTGCTCCATCCGAGTCTCTGGGCTCCATCCCAGTCTCTGGGCTCCACCCCGATCTCCAGGGCCACATCCAGGTCCCCAGGGTCACATCCGGGTCTCCAGGGCCACATCCGGTTCCCCAGGGCTCTATCCGGGTCTCCAGGGCCACATCCGGGTCCCCCAGGGCCACATCGTGGTGTCTAGGGCCACATCCGGGTCTCCATGGCCACATCCAGGTCTCCAGGGCTCCCTCCAGGGCCACATCTGCGTCCCAGGACTCCACCCGCGTCCAGAGCTACATCCGGGTCCCCAGAGCCACATCCAGGTCTCCATGGCCACATTCAGGTCCCCAGGGCCACATTCGGTCTCCCAGGGCTCTACCCGGGTTTCCCAGGGCTACATACGGGTCCCCAGGGCCACATCTGGGTCCCCAGGGCCACACCCGGGTCTCCAGGGCCACACCAGGGTCCAGGGCCACATCCGGATTTCCAGGACTCCCTCCAGGGCCATATCTGGGTCCCAGGGCGCCACCCGGGTCTCTGGGCTCTCTCCAGGTCTCTGAGCTACATCTGGGTCCCTAAGGCTCCATCCTGGTCTCTGGGCTCCATCCTGGTCTCTGGGCTCCGTCCGAGTCTCTGGGCTCCATCTGGGTCACTAAGGCTCTATCCGCATCCCTAAGGCTCCATGCGGGTCTCTGGGCTCCATTCAGGTCCTTAAGGCTCCATCTGAGTCTATGGGCTCCATTCGAGTCTCTGGGCTCCATCCGGGTCTTTGGGCTCCATCCAGGTCCCTAAGGATCCATCCGGGACTCCTGGCTCCATCCGAGTCCCTGGGCTCCATACGGGTCTCTGGGCTCCATCCAGGTCTCTGGGCTCCATCCGTATCTCTGGGCTCCATCTGGGTCCCTAAGGCTCCATCCACATCTCTGGGCTCTATGCGAGTCTCTGGGCTCCATCCGAATCCCTAAGACTCCATCCAAGTCCTAAGGCTCCATCCGGGTCTCTGGGCTCCATCCAGGTCTCTGGGCTCCATCCAAGTCTCTGGGCTCCATCTGGGATCCTAAGGCTCCATCCGGGTCCCTAAGGCTCCATCCAGTTCCCTAAGGCTCTTCCGAGTCTCTGGGCTCCATCTGGGTCCCTAAGGCTCCATCCGGGTCCATAAGGCTCGATCCGGGTCTCTGGGCTCCATCCGGGTCTCTGGGCTCCATCCGGGTCCCTAATGCTCCATCGGGGTCCCTAAGGCTCCATCCGGGTCTCTGGGTTCCATCCGAGTCCCTAAGATTCCATCTGGGTCCCTAAGGCTCCATCCAGTCCCTAAGCCTCCATCCGGGTCTCTGGGCTCCATCCGGGTCTCTGGGCTCCCTCCAAGTCTCTGGGCTCCATCTGAGCCATAAGGCTCTATCTCACTCTCTGGACACCATCCGAGTCTCTGGACTCCATACATATCTCGGCTCCATCCGGGTCTCTGGGCTCCATCCAAGTCTCTGGGCTCCATCTGGATCTCTGGGCTCCATCCAGGTTCCTAAGGCTCCATCCAGGTCTCTGGGCTCCATCCGGGTCTCTGGGCTCCATCCGGGTCTCTGGGCTCCATCCAAGTCTCTGGGCTCCATCTGGATCTCTGGGCTCCATCCAGGTTCCTAAGGCTCCATCCAGGTCTCTGGGCTCCATCCGGATCCCTAAGACTCCATCGGGGTCCCTAAGGCTCCATCTGGGTCTCTGGGCTCCATCCGGGTCTCTGGGCTCCATCCGGGTCTCTGGGCTCCATCAGGGTCCCTAAGGCTCCATCCGGGTCTCTGGGCTCCATCCTGGTCTCTGGGTTCCATCTGAGTCCCTAAGATTCCATCCGGGTCCCTAAGGCTCCATCCAGTCCCTAAGCCTCCATCCGGGTCTCTGGGCTCCATCCGGGTCTCTGGGCTCCATCCGAGCCATAAGGCTCTATCTCACTCTCTGGACACCATCCAAGTCTCTAGGCTCCATCCGGATCTCTGGGCTCCATCCGAGTCTCTGGGCTCCATCCGAGACTCTGGGCTCTATCCGGGTCTCTGGGCTCCATCCAAGTCTCTGGACTCCATCCGAGTCTCTGGGCTTCACCCAGGTTCCAGGGCCACATCTGGGTCTCCAGGGCCACATCCGGATGCTCAGGGCCACATCCAGGTCTCTAGGGTTCTCTCCATGGCCACATCCGGGTCTCCAGGGCACCATCCAGGTCTCCAGGGTCACTCTGGGTCTCCAGGGCCAAATACGGGATCCCAGGGCCACATCCGGGTCCCCAGAGTCACATGGGGCTCTCTAGGGCCACACCCGGGTCTCTAGGGCCACATCCGGGTCCCTAGGGCCACTTCCGTGCCTCCAGGTCCACGTCCGGGTCTCCAGAGCCACATCCGGGTCTCCATCGCTACATCCGGGTCTCGCAGGGCTCCATCCGGGTCCCCCAGGTCCACATCCCAAGTCCACATCCAGGTCTCCCAGGGCTCCATCCAGGTCCACATAAGGTCTCCAGGGCCACATCTGGTTCTCCCAGGGCCACATCCAGGTTCCCAGGTCGACACCCGGGTCCCAGGGCCACATCCAGGTCCCTAGGGCCACATCCGGGTCTTCAGGGCCGCAACCGGCTCTCCAGGGACACATCTCGATCCAGGGCCACATCCAGGTCTCCAGGGCTCACTCAAGGGCCACATCTTGGTCCCAGGGCTCCACCCAGGTCTCCAGGGCCACATCCGGGACTCCACGGCCACATCCGGGTCTCCAGGGCCACATCCTTGTCTCCAGGGCCACATCCAGGTCTCCCAGGGCTTCACCGGGTCCCCAGGTCACATCTGGGTCCCGAGGGCTACATCGGGGTCCCCAGGGCTCCTTTAGTGTCTCCAGGGCCACATCCGGGTCTCCTGGGCCACATCCGGATCTCAAGGGCTACATCGGGGTCTCCAGGGGCACATCCCGGTCCCCAGGGCCACATCCAGCTCTCCCAGGGCTCCACTCGGTTCCCCAGGTCCACACCTGGGTCTCCAGTGCCCCATTGGGTCTTCAGGGCCACATCCAGGTCTCCAGGACCACATCCGGGTCCCCAGGGCCACATCCGGGTCTCCAGGGACACATCCGGGTCCACAGGGCCACATCTGGGTCTCCCAGGGCTCCACCTGGGTCCCCCAGGGCCACATCCAGGTCTCCCAGGGCTCCACCTGGGTCCCCAGGGCCACATCCGCGTCCCCAGGGCCCCACCCAGGTTTCCAGGGCCACACCCGGGTCTCCAGGTCCACACCCTGGTCTCCAGTGCCCCATTGGGTCCTCAGGGTCACATCCAGGTCTCCAGGGCCATATCCGGGTACCCAGGGCCACATCCCAGTGTCCAGAGCCACATCCAGGTCTCCCAGGGTCACATCAGGGTGTCTAGCGCCACATCCAGATCTCCAGGGCTACATCCAGGTCTCCAGGGCCACATCCGGATCTCCAGGGCCACATCCAGGTCTCCAGGGCGACATCTGGGTCTCATGGGCCACATCCGGGTCTGCAGAGCCACTTCCGGGTCTCCAGGGCCAATTCTGGGTCTCTAGGTCCACATCCGGGTTTCTAGGGACACATCTGGGTCTGCAGAGCTCCATGCAGGGCCCCACCCCGGTCTCCAGGGCCACATTGTGGTATCCCAGGGCCACATCCGGGTCTCCAGGGCCACAACTGGATTTCAAGGGCCACACCCAGGTCTTCAGGGCCACATCCAGGTCCGCAGGACCACATCCGTGTGCCCAGGGCCACATCCTGGTGTCTAGGGCCACATCCGAGTCTCTAGGACCACATCCAGGTCCACAAGGCCAATTCCGGGTCTCCAGGGCCACTTCTGGGTCTCTAGGGCCACATCTGGGTCTTTAGGGCCAAATCCGATTCTTTAGGGCTACATCCTGGTCTCCAGGCCTCATCCGAGCCTCCAGGGCTCCCTCCAGGGCCACATCTGTGTCCCAGGGCTCCACCCGAGTCTCCAGGGCCACATCCGGGTCTCTAGGTCCACATCTGTGTCTCCAGGGCTCCATTCGGGTCTTCAGGGCACATCCGGGTCTCTAGGGCCACATCCAGTTTCCAGGCGCATCCAGGTCTCCAAGGCTCCCTCCAGGGCCACATCTGTTTCTCAGGGCTCCACCTGGGTCTCCAGGGCCACATTCAGGTCTACAGGGCCACATCTGGGTCCCCAGGGCCACATCTGTTTCCCCTGGACCACATCCGGGTTTCCAAGACCACATCTGTGACCCAGGGCTCCATCAGGGTCTCCAGGGCCACATACGGGTCTCTAGGTCCACCTCCGGGTCTCCAGGACTCCTTCCAGGGCCCCAACCTTGCCTCCAGGGCCACACCCGGGTCTCCAGGGCCATACCTAGATCCCCAAGGCCACATCCGTATCCCCAGGGCCACATCCGGGTATCCAGGGCGACATGCAGGTCTCCCAGGTTCATATCCAGGTGTCTAGGGCCACATCCAGGACTCCAGGGCCACATCCAG